CATGGCGAGGGATGGCGATGTGTAAAATCTGTCCGTCACAATCAGTCTCTTTTCCGCTGACCCATTTTCTCCAAAAACATCTTTGACGTTGCGAATAACAGCAGCGGGGCCCGATTTCGTATCTCGTGAAGCCGATCCATCAGTGCCCTTCTTCCCGCAATATACCTCGAAGCTGTGCCATACAGCATAAGATTGTCATCATTTTGTATAATACACGTTAACGGGACTTTAGATCAAATAAAAAAAATAAAGCGTGCACACCAGCACGCTCGTAACTCACCGCATACAGTAGGCAGTAGCCGAGGCAGCACAGCATGAACAGTTTGGTGCCCCACTTATGGGGCTTATCCTTCATGTAGACCCTCATGCGGTTGAACGATGACCGTGAAGGCAGCATGGCCTCGTCGAAAGCCATTATCGGAAGAGCCACGTATCCGGCCTTGAAGCGAGCTTGAAGTTCGTCCACTACCGGTCGGAGTTTCCAAGCACGATCTGTTGCGGCGCGGGGATCAGCATTGCTACTGAAATGAAGGTTGCGTGAAATGTGCATGAAGCGGTTACGTGTCATGAAGAGCCCAAACCGACCTCGAGGTACGGCACCTTCATCTGTCGTCTCCCAATGGTGCTCCAGCTTTTCTTTGTTTGGTGAAATTGCTCGTGCTATCAGAATGCCCACAAATACGCACAGTTCACTTGGGGTAATGTCAGGTGTCTCCAGCAGCGACGCCTTGATCTCAGCATGGGTCTTTTTCTTGAAACGCGGATCCTTTTTTTCTCTTAGCACTTGTTTGGCGTACTGACCTTCAACCCGCTCATCCAGCTTTTCTTGAAAGTACTCATTGCTGGCTTCAGCAGTATGATGCCACAACCAAGGTTGTAAAAAGTAGAACAGCGACCCGGACACAGTTGAGGCGGCTTCGATTGCACGGGCAGATGGGCCATATTCGCCTTCATACAGCCCTGGATATTCATCACGAAGAGCATCATCAGGTCGAACTTCATACGGCTGGTCTAGGTACGGAAGTGGACTATATGATACAGGTTTAGGCCATCCTGTGGTAGCCGTATCCTTCAGGATATCTGCGTTTATCGTGCCGCTTGCGATGTTTGCGATCCCACCGACTGCATTAACTAGCGTCTCGTCAAACAAAGCGTCCTCCGCATCCTCCTCGCCAGTATCCTCGTTGATTTCTTCTTCCGATCTTTCACCCAGATCACTTACATCACCATTAGATACTTCATCATCATTTTCACCCTCCGACGCCAAGGTGTTATAGTCTTTGGTGTCATCCGTATCTTGAACAGCGTTGATATCTGTTGATACAAAATGGTGCAGGTTAAAAAAATTATCGTGTATCGTTATACTGTATATACATCTTAACGAACCAGAAGGGATTAGTCTCGTCCGAGCCTGACGCTTCGTCAGCGAGCTGCTGGTCATACGCCACGCGTGTACTAACAGAAGGGGACTCACGTCGTGGGGTCGGCGACACGTGCGGTGACTCATATTGCAAGGTTGGAGAAGGCTGGCTGTCACCATCATCACACTCTGAGCAATCCGCAGCAGCATCTGCGATGATGACATACA